TCATTTTAAAACTCTTCATACAACTAAATTTATGACACTGCCTGTCGTATCTGATGCGATTAAACTCAAATGTTTCGGACACTTCACGCTCCCTTTTCTCCCATTACAATTATTTCGAGCAGTTTTCATTCCTGCCTCCCTTTTATGGCCCTATCGTTTTCATTTTGCAACACTTTTCTGTCATATTCACTATATGTCCTCTTAATCATGAAAAATACGAAACGGGACAAAGTAGTGATTTCAGTGGAAATATATGTCCAATATATTTATTTATGCCCGCCGTGTAGTAACTGCGTTCAGGGGAAATTTTGCATAACGCGGTCCCACGAGCACGCTATGTCCAAATCCGCATTGTCGTCAAAGGGTTAATCTCCAGTCATCGCCCGTTGCCCACTCTTGTGGCTGGCGGCTCCGTCGCTGGCGGCTCCGTCGCTGGTGTCCAGCGACGCAATCGCCGAGTCTGACCGAGGTCACAGCGTGCGTTGAGGATCACTCAACGTGCCGTTGCGAACTGCACAACGCAGGGTTAACTCTGCATACAGTAGAATTTTTCCTACAGTTCAAACCCGTATCTTCGTCTGAAGACTATGAAAGACGAATAAGTCTTGATCGCTGATTAACACAATTTATGCGGAACTCCAGTTAAAATGCCAGAGAACATAATGGCACATTTATATTTCATAAATTATATCTTGCTGCTCATTTCTGTAAAGCGTACTGAACATATGAAGTTTAATTATGAAGTTTCCTCATTCTGGGATGCTAAAAATGGGCGCCATCCCAAGATACGGATGCATCCTCTAGGGCTAAGCCCAGGAGGGAGCAGGAACTTTTGGGAAAGAACCCTGAGGTCTCTGCTCCTTCGCTCGAGGCTTTTTATCGATTTCAACAACAATGAGATGTTTTACGCGGTTTTTGAATTCACTATTACCACTATTCCCCCGTATCTTGCACTGAAAATGTTTCAAATGCGCAAATAAGACAGCGTTAAGGTGGCACTCACTGGCTTGTGCCATTTTCGTCAAAGGGTAGATGAGAGCCGAGTTGGCGGCAGAGCAACCTCTACCGCCTGTGTAGTGGATCGCTGCCATGATACCGTAGTCTGCTTATGTTTGCTTTGAGATCACCTTCCAAGCAGATGTCTCATCAGTGCGTTGATTTTGAATTCGCGTGCATTCAACTAGTTACAAATTTAATGCCAATTTCACTGCTGTAGCACTATTGCATACAAGTGGTGTGCCTTCCACAGAGATCGATAAATTTCTAAGGTGGATCGAATTCTGGGGAGCGAATTTGAGTATCATGTGAAGTGCAGTCCTATCACCTTTGGTCGCTCATTAAATTTGTTTGCAGCTGAGCGATGCGACACACAATTGCGAAACGATTTCATTTCGCCAGCCAGGACCTGGTACTTAAAGGTACCATTTGATAGTTACATATTGGGAACGCAGAGCTCGCAGTTGTGAGCCTATGCAGCTGGCGTGGCACAAAGAGGTGTGAGGTGATCACGCATCTGCGTTGCGTTCAGCGAAAAATCGACCCAATTTGCAAGTTTGCTGGGTATGGGCGCTGCATATTTTGAGTTGATTTCAAGGATTTTCCTATCGTTGCGCTGAAATGAGTCAAAAAAGTGTTACGATACGTTCAAAGATAGATAACGTGACCTGCTATATCTAATGGTCAAACGTTGACAGTGTTTTAGGTGTTTTCGCACTCTGCATAGTTTGCGGTTCCCTATTTCGTCCACTGCAGTTTCAAGAAATTGTTGAGGAAGATGGCGCTGAAACATCTGATGAAGTGAATAAACCAAATACTACTTCAGAGGAGGTAAGCTTCTCAGATATTGACTTTTGCTTGCGCACATTGTTTCGAGTTCAGGTGACCGGTGCGCTACTTACAGCCGGTGAAGCCCCCCTGCCATCTAAGGTCGTGCCTGAGGATTCGCAATCATTAGCTAGTCTTGCGTCATCGAGAACAGACAGTAAGTAAAGCTGCTTTCAGCTTTTAAAGAACTCGATGGAATCATTTTTTTCTTTCTTAAAGCATTTCTTCTTTTTCTTGCGGATTTAGGTGTTTTTTCGGCACTATTCACTATTACAACCCCAAAATCTCAAAATTTTATTTTTCGTCGAAACTTTGCCTATAGGGGTAATTCGATGCCCTGATTACGAAAATGACATTCATTTTTGGCGCTGGCGCCATTTGGCGCCAGTTGGCGCACCTTGTCACGAACCTGTAAACTTCTGTATAGGGGTTATTTGATGTCCTGATTACGAATATGACATTCGTTTTTGACATTAGCGCTGTTTACCGCATACTTCCCGCTTTTCTGGGCTCTCTCACCTATACATAGCGCCTTGGGACTAAGCTTAGGGGATAGGGAGACTCGGAATGGGTAAATCAGGCACCGTGTGACGAAGATGGAGCGTGTGAGATCACAGGGTGGGTGGGCTCACTCACTGTAGCCCTCCTCTCCCCTAAAGCTTAGTCCTGATCGCGATCTAATCACTAGGAGGGCGCAGACGAAGGAATAAGGCGCTAAATGGAGCTAGCGCCAAGAATGAATGTCATATTCGTAATCAGGACACCAAATAACCCCTACCCAGAAGTTTACACGAATTTGGTGAAAACAGTGTCGTGACAAGGTGACGCCAACTGGCGCCAGATGGCGCCAAAAAATGAATGTCATTTTCGTAATCAGGGCACCGAATTACCCCTATAGGCAAAGTTTCGACGAAAAATAAAATTTTGAGATTTTGGGGTTGTAATAGTTGAATAGTGCC